TGGCTCTGAAATTTCACCAGCAAAAATATACATGTTTGGCTTTGGTGTAATTTGGCAAAAATTTTTCTATTATGAAAATTTTCCAAAATATGCAAAATGTAGAGGTCAGCATAAAGTGACTGAATGCTCAGCTTCAAGAATTATCAATACTCTATCGATCTGTTCTTCCCCAGTCGTGGTCATGATATCATATCTTCAATAAATACTTCAGGACGTAGAGAGGATTTCTGTCTTCCTATACAATTCCCAGTCTTTCAGAATTACTTAATAACATTAAAATATTTTAGCAGGAACTGATAACATATGAGCCAATTAATATCACTACAAAAACCAAAGTGATAAAATAATCACATTCCAACTAATCCATATGGGAGGGTTGTTAGGTTGCAGTTGATATTCGATTGGAACGTCACTGCGCTGTCTGGTCTGAACCAGACTCTGGACAAGATGTAAGGGCTAAAGCAGAGAATATTCATGCTTGCTGGCCTAGTTCAGCTTTTGTTTACAGAGCAGAACGCATATCAGAAGTGGAAGAAAATGAGGCTGAAAAAGGTACATCAACACACAATAGCTTATAAAGCACTGGGGCAGAGAGGTGTCATTGTTGAGACTCTGTATGAACCCTAGTCTTCTACGTTATCCTCTGAACCCTATTTTCCAGATTTTCTTGTCACCATCATTAGTTGGATCCTTCCGATGAGTGATATTCAAACGACATTTAGCAGCGGAAGGATGCTGCTTTGGGTTGACTTCTAGGTGCAGCAGTGAGGAAATCATATTCTGGTACAGGGCGCAGAATTTATGTGTTTTTGCTTCTTTGTGATTTCTGCATTTCCAGATTGGTTTTCTTTTGTTTTTGCTTTTAGTTGAGTAGTACCATGATCAAACTTGTGTTTAATAAGATTTCATTGCTTTCAGGAAATGATGAAAGATTTAGACAAAACATATTAATTGCTCAGATACAGTTTATTTAGATGTTGGTAAATGTTTTAATTGAGTCTTTCATCATACCCTTTTTTGATAAGATAGAAAATCTGTGAATTGAGTGAAAATCCTGGAATTTGACTTGATAGAGTATCAATACTTATGTGAATGAAAGTCTCTTGTGATACAATGCACATCTTTTCCTTGGAACAATCTGGCTGTCAAGAAGTATGAAGAACTAGACGATACCTATAAAATCCATGACAAAAATGATGTAGAGCAAGAATGCTTGTAAGTCAATATGACAGTATAAAAAATGAAGCTCAAAAGAAGTTAGACTTAAATTTGGGGCAGAAACCAACAAACTAGACTATAACAAACATATGATTTTTCCCCTCCCAGATATCTATTTCTTTCCAAAAAAAGTTATTTTAACTTTACCTTGTTGGATATTCTTTTCAACGATAATTTGAATTATCATTAAATGCTCCATCTTGAAAATATTTCCTCAGTGGTTTGTAAAAGAAATGTTCACTGATTTAACAGGATCCTTATCACAATATTGATTGTCTTAAGATCCTGGGACATGGTTTGAAAGCCTCTCTCTACCTTTGTTTTCTCAGACAAGAGAGGATGCTGATGCCACAGCAATGGTGTCAATACTGAAATGGAGCTTAGAATTGACACTTCGTTGAAAACATGTATAACTTTTTGAAATATCTTCTAAGGAAACACTTTTTAAAGTATTGGGGTAGAAAACTATATGCAGCTAGGAGTGATGGCTCATGCTTGTAATCTAAGTACTTTGAGGTCTAGGTGGGAGGATTGCTTGAGCCCAGGAGTTCGAGACCAGCCTGGGCAGCATGGGAGACTGTCTCTACAAAACACAAACTAACAAAAGAGAAAATAGCCAGAAGTGGTGACGGATGCCTGTAGTTCCAGCTATTCAGGAGGCTGAGACGAGTGGCTCACCTGAGCCTGGAGAGGTCAAGGGTACAGTGAGTTATGATGGTGCTGGTACACTCCAGCCTGGGAGACAGAGAGAGACCCTGTCAGAAAGAAAGGAAGAAAGAGAAAGAAGGAAGGAAGGAAAGAAAGAAAGAGAGAAAGAAAGGAAGGAAGGAAGGAAGGAAGGAAGGAAGGAAGAAAGAAAGAAAGAGAGAGAGAAAGAAAGAGAGAGAAAGAAAGAGGGAGGGAGAAAGCTATATGCATGACTGTGTTTTTGAAAAAAAGCTATGTAAAAGTGTGAAATTATATAAATGATCAATACGAATAAGAGTAAGAAAAAGAAGAAATTATAAAAGACCCCCTGAAAAAAGCTATGCTCTTATTCAATATAATTAGTATGAAGAAATGTTAAAATACTTATGCTATGATAAGGACAGTTTTTTTAAGTGGGTAGTTTTTTTTTTTTAGTTTTTAAAAACTATACTAGTGCAGTATATATACTATACATATACATGTACATGTGTATATATATATATATAAAATCTGTAAATTTTCCCAATATCTCTTAAGAGCAAGTTGTCGGTTTTGTTCCTTTTCTAAGCCACACTTCTACATCGCTTTGCACAAAGAAAGAATTCAACAAATGTTTTTCAAAAAAATCACGTCATTGAAACAGTAAATTAATATAAATGTTTTGATTGAAAAGCTACTATCCCTGTAAGTGACCACCCAGAAAGTACTACATTTAAATTATCAGGAAGTTTTCATTTTAGGCCAGTCTTTTCAGAAATAAAATAAATAAATCAACAGAGTAGAAAATGTGACCAACCTGTGGTAGCCTAGCATAAACAGCGGCCGTGTGCACCACGCAGAGCGGACCCCAGGAGGAGAAGGAGCATGACTAGTGTGCGCTGTTACAGGCTGGACTACAAACTCATCTCCAGTGCACGTGGGAAAATGCGTTTCTTAGATGTGGTGTAAATGGCGTGAGTCTTATAGTATTCTGACAGTGCAAAAACCTGAGACATTTTAAAGAATTAAGCAATGTATTCACAGAATGAAAGCACATAAGTGCAGCTGCCTATGGTGAGAAAGATATATTACAGAATATTCCTGTGAATAGATGAGATGGTAGATGGATGTCTAATATACCGCTCTGCAGAAACATATGTATCTATTCATGTCTTCATATATGTCCAGACAGACTCCACGTCCCACTCCCCTGGGGCCCACAATCGGAATTACACAAATAGCATAGGCACCAAATGAGTAAAACCAACATTCTCAGAGCTGACTGCCATTAATCACTAATGAGGCCAGGTCAATGAATACCTGGCTTCAACAATACAACAGATCATACATTCTGCAAGGAGACGATAAATTTTCTAAAGAAAAATAACCTCCCTTAAGGGTACAGAGACTCCACAAAGACAAAATGAAGCTGATGAAAAGTAACCTGACAAAAAGATCTGGGTGACGACATCAGTGGTCTTTTCACTATGCATGAAACTGAATATTTTCTAAAATACATATTTTTTAAATGACAGAGGATCATTAAAAATGATGTATTTATAAAAGACAGGCTACTTAACTGATATTTTCTTTGATACATCTCCTTAGGTCTGAAGACATAGTTTAGCAGTTAACCCTTCAGGAACCATGGTGAGAAATTGTCTCTTATGATGAACATCTTGATTTGTTTTCCAATTAAAAAAGTCAATTTATAGCATGAAGTCTTGTTGGGCTGTTAAGACACATGGAATAAATAATAGTAAACTCACTTACACAATGAGTTACACTTTGGTGAAGGAGCTGGAGTTGATGATGATCATGCAGCCTCCGTTGGGCTAACACAGTCAGCATTTTTACCCTCACGGTAAAGTGGGACATCAGTGTTCACCATCAGAAGTGTAAGCCTAAATTATGATGATGTGGCTCACTATATATGATCTCGGCTTTTCCATTTTACTTGTAATATAATTCATTTCTTTCTTGTGTTTAAAATAAGAAGACAGAATTGGTATGGTTCAAAAAATATACAACCTGCCATATGTTGTCATCATATGCAATAAAGGAAAACTTTTATGTGCCTTCTATTGTGGGTTTTCTATAAAATAGGGCCCTGGCCAACAGAAAGCAATGATTGGGAAATTGAAAGTATACATAAAATAACTAATGAGACAAAGAGAACATAATAGATGCTAATAAGCTGATGGCTGTCTTTCGAATGCAAAGGTCAAAACCACACAGACTGCAGCAGATGTGTGTGTTGGGGAAGACAGAGTAAGGATGCTAAGATTTATAATGAAACATAAGAAAACATTGTCAAGAGCTGGAACAGGGGCATTGCTCATTTGCACTCAGACTAAAAGACAGTTCTAACGAAGCAGCCTGAGTGGGCTTCTGCAAGGAGTCAGCCCTCCTCAGTGTCTGCCCCTCTTCTGACTGGCCTGTCTCAGGGTGGAGTGACTTGTTTCCTCTAGGTGGCCCTCAGTCCTGAAGGTGTCAGGTATGCAGGGTTTCAATCTGAACATACACAGCCCCCTGGCTTCTCCACCGTGATCTTTAACTCCTCCCTACCCAGGGCCATTCTACCACTTGATCTTCTGAGTTTCACACTGACTGTCCCAATGGGAGAGGTGAATTGGTTTGGCCAGCTTGCTTTCTCAGTGGACTGGGATCTCATGGATGCTAGTCAGAAGAGTCACCATTGGCTTATGCCCAAGTCCCTGTTCTAATTAAATAGGGACAGACTCACAAGCTTTTCGGTTCACACAGTGTCTTTACTATCGCAGCAATATTTCCACAGTGCTCCAAAATAAATACATAATGGCTTACATTTATTAAGTAGCTAGGTCCAAAAAAAATTAAGTTTTTATATCCTAACCACTTAGGGTATCCTTGAAAAAATAATACACATAACATAGTTTGAAAAAAACAAATTTTCTATTTTATTGTTAAGTAGTTATAACTATTCAATAATAAAAAATGTTCACCTGTTGGGCACTGCATGTGTTCTTCATCCTTATTTCTTGATGTACATTGATTTTGCTATACATAGTTTTATCACAGAAACCACCAAAACCCCTTCTTTGCAAAGATTTGAAGTCACCAAAGGGAAAATTCCCCAAATTTTGTTGAATTAATTCTGAGATTTACATATAAAATCCCAGATGATGACCAGAAGTGTAACTGTATTAGTTAGGGTTCTTGGAGGGACAGAATTAATAGGATAGATGTATACATGAAGAAGAGTTCATTAAGGAGCGTTGACTCACATGATCACAAGGTGAAGTCCCACAGTAGGCAGTCTGCAAGCTGAGGAGCAAGGAAGCCAGTCCAATTCCCCAAACCTCAAAAGTAGGGAAGCTGACTGCAGTCTCCAGTCTGTGGCCGAAGGCCCAAGATTCCCAAAGCTGAAGAACTTGGAGCTTGATGATGTTCAAGGACAGGAAGCACCCAGCACAGGAGAAAGACGGAGGCCGGAAGACTCAGCCAGTCTAGGCCTTTATGTTTTCTGCCTGCTTTTATTCTAGTGGCCCTGGCAGCTGATTAGATGGTGCCTACCCAGACTGAGGGTGGGTCTGCCTCCGCCAGTACACCACTCAAATGTGAATCTCCTTTGGCAACACCCTCACAGACACACCCGGGAACCACACTTTGCATCCTTCAATCAAGCTGACCTCAATATTCACCATCACAATAACCTTACATTTAGATTGATGCTACCAAAAACAAAACTAAAACAAACCGACAAAAACCTGAAAACATTTTCCTGAGTATGTCCTGTCAAATCCCTGATATCTGTGCCATCATCAGGAGCAGAGGACGTGTGCTGAGGTGGAGGGGCTGTGCTGGAGAAAGAGTCCTAGTCTTCTTCTGCTACGTATTTCCACCAATTGCTGCCCTGCAGACCCCTCCAGGTAAAATATCTTGTGGGGGGAGAATGCTGTGACCAACAGGCCAACCAGATAGTGCCCCCATAGACCCAGGCATTTATTTCCCGCTCAGGCAATGATGTTGTTGAGCCAACAAAGTGGTCCAGCTAGTGCCAGGGTAATCTGTATCACACTCAAAGCTCTACGGTGATTTCCTTGATACATGGTCTAAATTTAATTCCATGTAATACATCTCATAAACTCTGTGTTTAAAAATATCCTGCCATTTTTATCATCCTGCTATCAAACCTGCTGCAAGTGAGCCTCTGTGTTTTTTAATAAGGAAGCATACTGCTGGCAGTAGTACCACAGCGAGAGTCCAGAACACTATGCCAGTGTGCTGGAATTTCTCAGAGTTGCAATTTTATGCAATGAATGTGTTTGCAGAACCCGAGGGGGTGTAAACAACCACAGGAAAATGAAAGATGAAAATTCTTAATACAAGAATCATTATAAATTGGAAGCATTGATTGATGCATGCCTATGATCGTTAGCTGATTTTTTTAATTGTGGAAGGTAAGAAAAATTAAAAATGAAAGAAAGAGAACTATGTGAGTATTGAAGAAGCATACTGGATTTATCTGCTGTTCCTGAGTTGGGACATAAATAGGGCAGGTAGCAGTTATTGACCAAGTCCCCATTGTTGGGGACAGTCGCTGCAGGGACTATGGGTCAAAGCTCTATCGTCACATGCCATCTGTCTGTGGTCCTGTCTGTGTAAACTGTCTCTCAGCGGTGATGAACTCTCAAGAAGATCTCAGGAGTTGTAGTTCAAATTAAAGTATCATAAAGATATACAATATGATAGCAGAAGATATGAAGAGCTTAATGTCCCTTTGAGTGCCTACTCAGTTACAAGAACTACTCATGACACTTATTGTTATGTATTGAAATTGAAAAAGAAAAGATATATATCATTGATCCTGAACTGAAGTGGAGCTATAGACTCAGCACATTTAATAGTTTGTCCAGGAACATAGATAGTAAATGGCAAAGCAGTGTTTTCACAAGTGTCAGTTTTATTTGTAAATGTGTGGGGTCTTTAAATTACTTTTAATACTGTCATAGGAATATAGTATAATTCTCTCATGAGAATATTTTAACATACTTTGAGAGTAATCACTCAACTCAAGCTTTCGTCAACAACAAAAGGGATTTTCACTCCAGGGTGATGCCCACAAAGGGTTGGATGGGTCCAGCTACACAGAGATAATCCAGGCCTAGCTGCCCTGACCCTCAGTATCTCCCTGGGCTGATGGCTCTTGCTCGTGGCTCCCACAGCACCCATGACCTTCAGAGGCTGCAGGCTTCCCTATGTATGGAGGAGAAGGAGACGGAGGCAGAGAGACAGAGAGAGAAGGAGGGAAAGAGGCCTTCTTTCCCTTCCGTCCTTCCTCCCTCTCTCTCTCTCTCTCTCTCTCTCTCTCTCTCTCTCTCTCTCTCTCTCTCNCTCTCTCTCTCTCTCTCTCTCTCTCTCTCTCTCTCTCTCTCTCGTCTTGCTCTATCACCCAGGCTGGAGTGCAATGGCACGATCTCGGTTCACTGCAACCTCTCGCTCCCAGGTTCAAGTGATTCTCCTGCCTCAGCCTCCTGAGTGGCTGAGATTACAGGCACGGGGCACCACATCCAGATTACTTTCGTATTTTCAGTAGAGACAGGATTTCGCCATGTTGGCCAGGCTGGTCTCGAACTCCTGACCCCAAGTGATCCACCCTGTCAGCCTTCCAAAGTGGTGGGATTATAGGACTGAGCCACCAGACCCGGCCGTGTATTATGTTGATAAACAGTTTAAACTTAAACTTGATGCCTCATGCCTAGAAGCAATGTTTCAACGAGGTTCTCAGAAGCAAATGGACTACACAGAGCTGGAGTAAAAGAACGTGGAAACTCTAGTGTAAATTGGAATAGATATCAGAAAAGAAACGGGTATCGACGAAGCAACCACAGGGTCCAAAATAATAAAACCAGAAGGTGATCTGTTATTAGTGCTTACATTAGTACTTATAGTAAGGAATAGGAAAGAGGGTGTTCATCATGGCAAACTCTGTCATTATTCTGATCAATAAAATAAGTCCATACCCAATGAAAACAGAAATTGGAAAAAAAAAAAATTGAAATTGCCATTAATCTCTGTGCTCAGAGAAAGTCACATATGATATTTTTTGTGTCTTTCTCTCCAGTCTGGAATATGTGTATATTATGTTATTATTTGAAACACTAACTCTTGGCTGTGTTTATGTGTCTTAGCTTTTATATTACAATTTCATTGACATTGTAACTTATCTTTATAAGTAACTTACCTTTATAATTTTTTTGTTTTTTTTCCTAGTCCCTTCAACTAAACTTACTTTATTTTGTTTCCTTCATCTTTCCTCAGTAATATAAAGTTTTACGGCCGTAAGTTTGTTATTGTTGTGCTGTTTTGCTATACTCAATTATAGAGAATTCTAATTGTTTATTTTTTTTAGTTTTCATTTTCCATTTATCCAACCATTAACCGAATGTTTTACAGTATCTCACCACTAGAAGTTTTTTTGACTTTTTAGTAATAATAACTTTTATTATTATTTTGCTTCAGTGTGTCTTGACTTAGTTGCTTCTTCATCTATGAAAAATAATATGGCTCATTCCTCCAAAAAATACATTAAAGTACTAAGAAATTACACCTAAACGAATGCATTCAGGTCAGCTTTAATCAGAATTATAAAGTCAGCAACATAAGAAATAAAATGCAAAATCATGCAAATTTTAACATTTATCAAAAAGCATGGTCCTCATTGTTTAAAAAAAGTGTTGGCTCGAACACTATTTTCTCTGCAGAGATTATCATGCCTGCTTTTATTTTTGTTTGTATTCACTTGCAGGTAGCATCCTTCTTCCTTTTTCTTTACTGAGGCAATTTTCCACATAGTTGGTATACTCCTCAGGCCATTTTAATAAGAGGAAGTTCATATACTCACATACATGTCTCCATTTGACTAGCAGCCCCTTATGTTTGTTTGTGACAAATTACCATCAGTTAGTACATGGACAATTTATGGTGGTGATGAGAACAAACCTGGGAAGGATATGGCTTGAGGTTTATAAAGTAAACTCAGCTAATGTAGGTTATGACTAATAAATCAACATCTAATGCTCCACTATCAAATACTAATTAATTCTTTCTTTCCTGCCTCATATTAATTTAGTGTCATTCCAAGTCTTCGGGGGAAATTGTTCGCAGCTTGAAGCAAGAACACTCTTATGCCTTGCCAGATGACTTTATTAATTGCAGTAAGTGCAGTGGCTTTGGACACCCAAATTTAGAAAAGAAAGATGATTTTGGAAGACAATTCTCCCCTTTGGCAAGTATGATATTTTAGGATCTCAATAAATCCTTTTGAATCTAATAGAAGTAATTTTCTCATCTCTTTTTTGGTACTCAGATATTCTGGTAATCCAATACTAGAACCCTTATATATTGACATTCATATAAAAGCAACTTCAAAATACAAAATAAAATAAATACAACAAATTTTTTCAGAACCCTAGTCACAATAAGATATTTCACTCTGATGACAAAGTCTTTATTTGCACCTAACTGATATTCAGAGAGGGCTAAAATACCCATTTAACTATTTAAAATTCTGATAGTCAGCTTAATCCTGTATGTACAATTATATGTTTTAGATATTTTAATTTATTCTTAGCTTAATAATTTAAAACATCATCTATAAATTAGATGAAAGAATCCTTTTTTGGGGGGGAGGTAGGGGGAGGTCTCACTCTGTCACCCAGGCTGGAATGCAGTGGTTCAGTCAGGCCTAACTGCAGCCTCGACCTCCCAGAATCAACTGATCCTCCCACCTCAACCTCCTGAGTAGCTGGGACCACAGGAACACACCGTCAAGCCCAGCTAATTTTTTTTTTTTTGTATTTTTTTGTAGAAAAGGGTTTTTATCGTGTTGCCCTGGCTAGTCTGGATCTCCTGGGCTCAAGTGGTCCACTTGCCTTGGCCTGCCAAAGTGCTAGGATTACAGGTGTGAGCCACTGTGCCCAGGCCCGATGGAATCTTTTTTTAAAAATATGATATGGTGAGGAATTAAACAGAAAGTCACAGTACTGTGCAGCTTTGATGGCTGATAAATGCTAGGAAGCAATTGCACTTTGTGCATTCATTAGATTTTGTGCCAGGCAGAAAACGTGGACACAGATATGCTCCTCCTACTTTCCTCTGTGCCTGTTATAGAGGATGACAGTAAGTGCTAGAACGGATCGCAGACCCTCGTGCGGTAAGTCTTGCTCCAATGTCCATGCGCATCTACAGTAATACAGGCCCTCTGGCCCCCTGGACTCAACACTAGGAGTTGGGGAGGGATTGCCTCATGGAAAGGTGCAGCTTACTCCAGTATCTTCAGTCAGCAACAGAAAAGCTGTGGCTTGTTCAATCTTCCCAAACACTAGCTTTTGGGCATGTTGATTTTTCAATCCTCTTTGGTTTCTTTTCAACAGTTCAGAATTTTAGGAGTGCATGAAAGTTCTTTGACATCACAATGTGATGAAAGCACCCTTTACTTCAGCCTCTTTCAAAATGTGGAATGAACTGCTCTTCCAGTGGGAAGTGGAAGAGAGGCATCCTGTTCAAGGCTGGTTCAGCCCCCAGCTCAATTCAGGAGCGCTGGCTCCTGATGGAATGGTGAACCAGGGTGAAAACGAGGACGTGGAATAAGGCTGCAGAAACTACATGCTGAAAGGTACATGTTTGTTTGGGGAAACTATACTATTTCAACATTGCCAGGCCGGCAGCGCAGCATTTACTGCATGGTAAGAATTAAAGCACCTTTCAAATCTCTTAAAATTTTGGAAGGGAAAAAAACACACCTACTCAACAAATTGGGCTCAATATGTGTAGAGCTCAGAGAACGATCCACAGTTATAAAAGCTACTGGCAAGGGTCACCATGCCTCTTAAAAGACAAGCTGTGAAGGTCACTATAGGCATTCACGTTGCTAGAAACTGTTCACTTTAAGACTAGATGTTCAAATAAATCAATTCTGTTAGAAACCTTGACAAAGACTGGGAAAAGCATAAAGCCCAGATCAATCTTTCCGTTAGGTTGTATTTCAGATTGTTGAACATAAAACTATGCGAAAATGTTTCCCCTTTCCCCTTTTTAGTGTTTGTTTTATTAGAAAAGTAGAACTTAAGAGTTCCCCAGACATTATACAGAACTATATGTATTGGGTACATGTGTCATTACTTCTAAGTACCCATAGAAATTTTTACTTAGCAACATTTTCATGTTCCTCTCAAATTCCTACAATTATACATGGCAAAACAATTCTCCTTATTTCTTAAGGGAGCGCTCTCTAAATCTAAAGGTATTAAGAAAATGTTAGTATTTCCAGCAACTGTGGGTTATATTAAAAATAGGGGCTCCAGGGGAAAAAGTGGAGCTCAGAAGGTCTCTATCTCATGACTTTAAGCTACATTTAGGAAGCAACATATGAAATACATTGTAAAAATTTCTAGCACATTTTTTGGATGTTTTTATAGCACTTAGCACTACATGCCAGTAATAGGTATGTTTATGTCCCTATCAGTTTCTCTGCAAGTGCGTAGGGGCTTCCAGTTAGTCTTTGATTCATTCTCTTTCTATCCCTCCTAAAGCAGCTTTTCAAACAGTATGTTCCTTCATGTTAACAAGGGGAATAAAGAACCTCTGTTCATATAAGCACTGGAAAACTGAGCTAACAAAATTTTAAATAGTTTTTTTTTTTAAATTGGTATCCACTGACTCTTCAAAAGTTGGATAAATTCTGATGTAAACCCTAAACTTATTTGATTGTCTCTTAACGTGTTTTACCATTGCCACAGTAAAGATATAGAATATTTCCTCCACTCCACAAAGACTAGTCTGTGCTCTCTGCAATCATGTTCTTCCCCTTCCCCAAGCCCAGTGAGTCCTTCCTTGCTCTGTCCTCTGAGCATATGGAATAGTATTGCCATTTTTGGAATGTAATACTAATGGAATTACAGAGCATTCTCTTTTGTATTCGTCTTTCTTCACTGAGAAAAATGTTTTTGAATACTTGTCATTGATAAAAACAAGACATTAGCTTTTCATCGCTGAATACCCTTCTACTGTGTGAAGACACCACAGTTGATTGATGTATTCCTCTATCACAGTCACTGGGCATGTAGATAGATTTCAGTTTCCACTGGTATTTATTAACATTAAGTATTAATCTTCTAGTAAGTATAAAACTATTACAAATAAAGCTTTTATGCACAAGTCTTTGTTGACTGAATTTTCATTTCTTTTTTTTTTTC